CTGAGAGCACACATCCGAAGCACACGGACAGAAAGCGGCTGTCACAGCATGTGAGTTCTAAACTAAGGTCTCATTCACACACAAGTTTACGTTACACACACGAGTTACAAAAAACAGTCGGTTTCCCTTTACCACGTCACCAAGGGAGCGAAATCAGACGCGCTCATTTTCTCAGATGCTTGCAGAAAAAGGCTTCCCAAAATAAAGTTACTGGGTTAATCTTTTTCACGTTTCCATGGTTGGTAGATGCACTGGGGACCTGATTATAGCACTTAAAACCTGGAAAAGTCAGATTTTCATGATATGCCACCTTTAACTAGACAGTATTTTATTATTGTGTGTATTGATTTGTTTACAAAATCAAATGATTGGGACACTTTTTGTCAATGAAATGGCTTGGAAAAGTGTCCCAATCAACTTGAATTCACCCTACTCTTTGAAATCATGATTGCATTACAGTATGTTGTTTTAAACACCAAATATTTTACTTATAACTTCATTATATTTTACTTATAACTTCATTATAATTCTTGAATAATAATAATTTAGTTACTTGTAATGTTAATTGTAAAAAAAAAAAAAAAGAAGAATGAAAACAAATTGGAAGTAGTTTCAATGTAGCTAGCTACTTTTTGACAGTAACTTGTAGTGTAGCTAGCTACTTTTTCAGAAGGGTAGCTTGAATGTAGCCTAACTACTTTAATTTACGAGTAGCTTGTGTCGTGGAACAAACAATGGTCTTTTTCGAAGTTGTCAAAAAAGCTCAAGAAGCAGAGTTCCAGATGTCAAAATAAGACTTTATTGAGCACAGCAGCAAAGCCGAGATGACAGCCGCTGCATCTGAAGTCTCTGTCTGTCCGCACATCCGTTTTATACCTTTTTCCCTTACCAAAGTTGGTAGTTCCGGTTTTTTATTGGTTATGCCTGTCTGGTTTGCCACAATTTATTACTAGCACACCTGGTCCATCTTTTAATGGTGGAATTTGGCCAAATCAACCATTTTTTAAAAACGTTCATTTTGCCGCTTCCCATTGGTTGGCGGTGGTCCCATGAGACATACATCAAATCTGTTTACTCGTTACTGTCAACTTCTGGAAATCACCCAAAGTTCATTGGGTTACTCAAGTTCACTGGTACAATCCAATGTAAACCACTGACACTGCCCAATGGAAGGGCCCTCATACATACAATCCTCATTAAGACATCCAGTATTGAGAATAACTAAAGATATTGATTAGTATATTGATTACTTTCATAATTATACATAATATTTTGAGTAAGATAATACCATATTGAGTAAATAACGTAATAGGTAATAGAATTACACAATACTTGTAGCTGGTCAAGCTACAGTTTGAGAGTAGCTTCCCCAAAACTAAGTGGCAAAAAAAATGCAAACAAAGTTGGCCATTAGTCATTTTTTCTTTTCTCATATATACAAATGTCTATAACTCAAAAACAAAATGAGATATTTTCACAAAATTTGACAATATGTATGGATACACTCTAAGGACACTCAAAAGTTATAATGAAATTTCAAATAAATGCTAATAGCTTTCTGTGAATTCTGTCTATTGTAATGAGCCTGGTATTAATAGACTCCTTGGGTCATGCTGAGAACAGTGATACCAATACTGCCATAGTCAGCCAAACTCCCTGTCCGCCATTTTGATTTTCTTTAAAAACCTACTTTTTCGAACTCCTCCTAGACCGTTGGTCCGATTTTCACCAAAATCAAATCATATCATCTTCAGACCATGCTGACAAAGTTTATGGATTTTGTGTTGATGGACAATACCGTTTTCGCATATCACAGCAACGAATTTGAGGCATTATGCCAAAATGACACTTGAGGCTGTATCTCTGCAATGCTTTGGCATATTGACACCAAACTTTGTGTGTGCCATTGTCAACTCACACAGAACACACCACATCGATTTGATGACAGGGCCACCTATTGGTCAAACGTAATAAGCCAATAAATCATATTACTAGTGGTTGTATTTATGATTTTTTTCAGCTGTTTTGACTAAAATCATCCTAAAATGGATTCAGTTACTCATTTCTGCAGTTGGTCTTATGCTTGCTTCTGTAGTGCTTGGCCCTGTAATTGCTGCTTGCAGCTATATTTTATTTTTGTGTTTTTGCCCTTTTTCCAGAGTGAACGTACCGTGTGTCCACACTGCTAACAGCAAACGCATCCTGTATATGGGCGCATTCATATGCACTGAATACTGCCAAAAATTATGTCATATTCATAGGCTAAAATTAAAAATGAGCTCCCTATCCGACTCATTTTTGTGGAGTTGTTACTTAATTTTGAATTCAGCAAAATGTCGCGTCACACATAATCATGACCAATCATTATTTACATTATCAGTCATTAATGTGTCACTTCAGAAAACGTCTCCGATTATTGTCGTAACCTCGGTTCCCTGAGAGCGGGAACGAGACATTGCGAAGCATTCGCAGTGGGAACTCCTCCACTTCCCTGAAATCCTGAAACCTTATAGGATAAAGCCAGTTCAATAAACTGGCCAATTGCCGCTAATCTATGCAAATCGCATGCAAATACTGACAAGCCTGCAGGCAGTATAAAATGTTGTGAAAGCGACAATTGCCTCAGAATCTAAGACTGAATGCTACAGAGCTGATCAAGCATCGAGCACTGCGATCTTCACATTGTCTCGTTCCCGCTCTCAGGGAACCGAGGTTACGACAGTAACCGGAGACGTTCCCTTTCAAGCATTCACTCTACATTGCGAAGCATTGGCAGTGGGAACGGTATACAATCCCGCTGTGAGCGCGGCGTAGATCAGCCCGAACTCAAGGCTAAGACCACACCAAGCATGGGGTAGAACAACACACAATTCCCAACCAATAGCGACACCGTTAGGAACCCGCAGCTGATAGGCGTAGCTAGACAAATGAACATATTAACTCAGGTATACCAAATTAGCATATCTTGCCAGAATAAATGACCGGTTGCACAGAATACAGGGCAGACACAACAACCGTAGCAAGGTAGCACCATGCAACGTAACAAAGCACATATAAAAATGTACATAAGCCTGCACAGTGTCAACAGCTATACGTGGTAACAAACTGTGCCCCAATTGCAGATAGCAATAAACTAGAAGAATAAGTGAGGTTAGTGACTCACCGAAAGCACTTGAGGCGCCAAGGACGACACATCCAACTTGTATAATCTGGTGAAAATATTCTGTGAAGACCAGCCAGCTGCATGGCATATATCCCAAATAGATGTGCCTTTAGACCAGGCCCATGAAGAGGCGAGAGCCCTCGTCGTATGGACTCTGATGCTGAGAGGGCATTCCTGTCCCTGGCTCGCATAAGCTGACACGATAGTATCCACTATCCAGTGAGAAAGCCTCTGCTTAGATACTGCTCGTCCCTTAAAACAGCCACCGCAGCCCATGAAGAGTTGGTTAGACTGTCGAAAAAGACTGTCGAAAAATGGCTGAGTGGTCAATATAAATCCTTAAAGGGGTATGATGTTGCTAAAACGAACATTATTTTGTGTATTTGGTGTAATGAAATGTGTTTATGCAGTTTAAGGTTAAAAAAACCACATAATTTTTCCACATACTGTACATTATTGTTTCTCCTCTATGCCCCGCCTTTCTGAAACGTGTCAATTTTTACAAAGCGCATCGTTCTGAAAAAGCGAGGTGTGCTGTGATTGGCCAGCTATCCAGTGCGTTGTGATTGGCCGAATACCTCAAGCGTGTGACGGAAATGTTACGCCCCTTACCATACTGTGATGCCCTGTCGGCAACAATACTACAGCGAGAATAAAAGTTACACCTTCTTTCTTTGCGTGAACATTTGGGCGGCGTTATGCAAATCTTCCCACATAGTGATGTAGACATGTGGGGGCGTGTTAGAATGAGCCGTTTTAGGTAGGAGTGGTTGACTCTTAACTTTTATAAAGAATATCTCTTTGGATTTGAGACTTTAGTCTTTGCAACTTTACAGATCTTCTTTATGCACCAAGAGCTTGTAACACTTCAAAGAGAAAGGAAAACTTGAAATCGCATCATATGACCCCTTTAACTCAGAATAAAACCTGCTCGGGAGCAGGGTAGCTGTGTAGCGTAAGTTACCATGGGGACGAAACCCGCTCAAAACCAACCCACCTTCTTGAGCCCGAAAACTCAAGAGTTTGCTAAAACTAAACGTGAACTTACCTGGGTAAAAACGAAACCGGCTTCGTGCTACAGGCCACTGGTACCATTTTTTTAACCATATGTTAAATAACACCGTTTCTTTTATTGGTACAGACTACACCCTGTTTGGCAGAATTTACAATGTGAAATTCTTTGGTTCCTCGGTGAATAAGGTAGGGCTGGGCAACTTTGGTCCTGGAGGGTCACTGTCCTGCAGAGTTTAGCTCCAACCCTAATCAAACACACCTGCCTGTTGCTTTCTAGTGATCTTGAAGACGATTAGGTTGTTCAGGTGTGTTCGATTAGGGTTGGAGCCCTCCAGGACTGAAGTTGCCCAGCCCTGGAATAAGGTTTACTTGTTGTTATGCAGTGATTTATTTAAATAAAACACTGCATATATTTACAAAATAGTTCAACTATTTTCTTATTCCTCTATTAAACATTGCCCAGGTCAAACCCAAACAAATGACCCTTGTTTAAAGAGGCCATTGTCCTGAACCCTTTTGTTTAGTATTTATGATTGCTAAATACATTTATTCAGTATATTTATTAGAATATCATTGCAATGTAAAATATCTTGTTTAATAAGAGTGACCATTTATTAATGATATATTAATTAATTTGAAGATTACATTTTAGGAGTCATTCATGCAAAAAATGTAAAATTAAGAAAACTTGCATGCAAAAAAAGCATGCATCAGTGTATGCAAAGTAAATGTAATTTAGAAATGGCAAATAACATTGTCATGTTTTATGACATCATTTGTATGCAATTGTCATATCTCCAAGATGAGCAATGTGTACTTAAGAGATATTTAATTTACCTATAAAAAAAATCCAGGTTAAACAAACCTCAGTAACATGTCAGCTGTCTCTTTATACTGCTGCTTGTTTTTCTTAAATAGGTGAAAGCCCTCTTCTCACAGAGATGAGAATTTGGCTCATGAGTTTCAGTGAAACAGAAAAATCTGTTCTAAACCTGATTTTTGATAAAGGAAATTATGATGAAGCCGGCAGTGGGAGGCTTAAGACTTTCAAAGGTGCAATGAACAAGAAGACTGTGCACGTGGTTGATATTGATATCTGCAATGCCAAGAGGATTCTTAGATGGGAAAAACCGACTCTTGGACCCCATGCCATTCTACTTGCATTTTCTCTGCATGATGACAGATTCACAGACCAGACCAAAGAGATTGTTGAAAATTTGGAGTTTCTTGGAGAGAAATTCTGGACTCATGTCATTGTAGTATTTACAGAGGGAGACCGTAGTATAGATGAGTATTCTGGAGCTCAGAGAAGTGTATTGGAGTGGCTTCTTGAAAAATGTGGACACAAATCCTACATCTGTGGCTATGCACCAGAAACTACAGAGAGGAGAGAGCTTTCAGAGAGGATACAGAGGATGATGAGGAGAAATAATTCAATGCATCTGGTCTTACCAGACATATCAGATAGAGATTCTCAATCCCCTTTAGACATTTTAAGGGTAAGTCATTGATGAATTTATTTTACAATGATCTCTTTGCAAATGTAAATTAGTCTAATTTGACAATACAATTACAATTCACTTAGGCACTTTTTATTTTTCACAGAAGCTAGATGGGAAAGATTACTTGTTCACTCCTGAGGTCATCGTTCAAGAGGGGCAAAGGAAATACAGGTATTGTGTCAACAGATGTAAGATAATTGAGTGTATCAGTTTGTATTCATATTCTGTATTTCTTTGAAATCAAATAGGTTACAGTGCGACCATGCAGGCTGGTTCCATTGTAAGTTTACACAGATTGGTTTTAACATGGAGGTGGAAGGAGAGGTGCTATACAGCACTGTTCTTCAGGACAGCGACTGTCCAGTTCCTGCCAACTATTACCAAGCAGGACCCGTGTATGATATCAAGTGTGTTCAGGGTGAGCTGTCTCAACTCAGACTACCTCACTGTGAGACATCCATTGGTGAGTTGGCAATCTTATGAATAATATGAGATACTGAACATAATCTGTGAATAATACAAAGTGGAAACTTTTAAGAAATATCTTGTATAATATAAAAATATAACACTTATTATATATTTTAAATGTACTAATTGTAGAGATCATGGCAAAAAAAAAAAGTTTTATTTTTTTATTTTTTTGAATCTCGTAGAGGATGCCCGCCACTTCATGTCAGTTATACATTACTCTAATCAAATGGTTGATATTCTGAAACCTCAGAATATCACAAGCACACATGTTACAGTGAGCATCCCAGAAACATCAAACTTTTTTATTTCCAAAATGGTAAACTGGTTTACGGATCATTGGTCTAAGACACATGGCCAGGTGATACTATTCTATCTACAGCAAGCACATAGGCTGCATGTGTTTCTAAAACCACGCAATGTGGATCCCAGAGAGGTACATTTTAAACATTTTTTTTTAAATGCAGTTTCACCTTATTTTGGCTGACCTTTATAAACGACTTTACCCTTTCTCTCTTCTTAGGTTGAAAAATGTAATAAAGATTACACATTAATCCAAACAGCTTGTGAATGCATGCTAAAATATGAATGTGTGTACAGCATATCCTGTGATCCTGTTGAGCAACATGGACCTTCAGTGAGGCCAAAGATACAACCGATGGTCAGTGTATGGACTGGAATAAGAATATGACATTTTCTCAAAGCATGAGTTATTTTATTTTATTTTTAAGATTTTCTAATTGATAAATCATGGGGAAATTAGGCATCAAATAGTTTACATATTTAGTTTATCTATAATGTTGCTTATGTTCTATGAACGATCCCTAAAAAATACTGAAAAATACTAGAAAAATACATCCCATACTGGGATGGTTGCTTTGCTGGAAAGTTCGATAATCATCAGCTTCAATCAATGCACAGAAGTCATTACAATTCTTGCCAAAAGACTGTGATCTTGAGAAACATTCTGCGAAACGTTCTGACTGATAGTGTATCTCCTAGACTTGATCATCTGCTATTTTAAAACCTCATTTTCTATCTGACTGTGTTTAAATGTTAAAACCGTCAATGTATTATATGTCATCTCAAAAAATTCAAAGAATCCAATATTAAAGTTAGCAAAGTTTTTCTGAAATGTAGTTTTAGAGATGATGTCTTTGAATCAAACTTATTATCCCTCTCTTTCCTTTGTTAGGACACAAAACTTCATTGCACTAAGCAGTGGAAACATTACTATCCAACATTTGATATAAAGTTGCCAGATGGTGTGATGGATGTGGGTTTACACCTCAAAAAGAAAAACCCCAAGAAAGGAAGGGTTGATGTTGTATGGAGCCGTGACATAACACTGACAGGTAAGTAATATACTGTACCGTTTATGTTACTGGAGTAAAGGTTTAGGAAGTAAATAACTGATATGACAATAATCCACCTAAAATAATAATCATCATAGACATTGGATACTTTTTATATGTTCAGCATTCAAGCTAGACTGCAACAATTGGGGCCCTTGTGCTGATCTACCTAAACATATGAGCACCGCACAATGTTAAATATACATAAATTGTTTAAAGATTTTACTGATCAATTAAATCATTCATAAAGTTAGTCTCAAAAGTTGAAAATGAAGAAGACTTTAACCAAGATTTTATCTTCCAGACTATACTGCAGAAAACAGGAGACCGACTCTATCCACTGATGAGCAGTGTAAGCACATAACCTTGACATAATCTTAGGCTAGCCATTTTATTTACATTTGAATCAGCTAGTTTTAGAATTGTAGCAGAACAAAATTAGCTTCTGTCTCACAGAAATTTGAATACTGTATAAATTAAATGTGTTGATGACTATATTCTGCAGGTGTATCCTTTCTGAAAAAGAACAAAGCTAAACTTATCCAAAAGGTGAAAAATATTGATGCCATTTTAGATCACTTTGAAGACATTATTGTAGACGAACAGATAGATGAAATCGGAGCAATGACAACAAATCAGAAAAAAATGAAGAGAATCTTTAAGATCATAGAAGGACAAGGACTTTCATCGAAACGGATGTTTTTTGATTTGCTTTACCAGGAAGAACGAGGTCTTATGGATGAAATGACAAAAGACAACAACTAACGCATGTGAGATGAACAACAGAGAAACTGAACAGGAAAAATGTATTAATTTGTTATGTTCAAGCTCCTGCTATAACATTTGTCAAAGCATGTGATATTGTCATTGACCAGTGTATGTGCCAGTCTTTTAAATGTTAGGGTTGTACTGCTTTACTGTGTGGCAATGTTTAGATGGATTGTGATGATTATGATTCAATGGATTTGTCCTCCTTGTGATCACCTCTTGCTTGTAAATAATATTTCTTCAGAAGTAGAAGTGAAATCATTTTCTGTATAAAGAGGTGCTGTAGATTATCTTTAAATGATAAACATTGTCAGTTCATAATGTAGGCTATGTCAAGTCTGGAGTAATATGTAAACTGGTGATTTTTTTTATTTATTGCAATTTGATTCTCAGTCCTGGTGCATTAATATTTACAATTGAAAGAAACACAGGTGATCTGCCTGTTATTTTGTGAGATATTGTGAAATGTGGTTTTAAAATGAAAGAACACTGTTTAATTCATAAATGCATATGTTTGATGGCTATCCCATTGCACCAAATATTTTAGGGTCCTCAAGCCAATAACTAATAAACCAGTAACATGTTTTTTTATGACAAATATAGTTTAACCCTTTAACCTTATTTGTACTTTGTCATGTAATCTTTATGCCTATATGCATGTTGTTTAAATTTGTTCTCAGTCTGTACTCTGTAGTATTGTTATAATTAGTGATGGGACGATTGATACCGAGGCTCCGACGCAGTTTTCAAAGCACTATTGTATCACACACTGTGCCTATTACGGCGACTGCTCCTTCTTCTCCTGCTAAGCCTTTGAAAAGGCACGAAGAACACCTCATATGCCGATGCTTGTATCGAAATCACCATACCACGTGCTTGATGACGTTTGAATGCAGTATCTGAAGGTCGGGACAGCTGGCTTGAAAAAAAAATCATGACTCTTGTGTTTGACTTTGCATTGACTTGGGTGTGTGTACACTTATTCGGGATTCAGCAGAATAGTTTAGAATAACCTCAACACCAGACAGAAACTGAATGCACGTTACACCTCTATTGCGCTCACCCAAAATATTTTGCTACTACTCACGTCAATTATTAATTATAATCACACACTTGTATATTTTATATTATTGATCAATATGTGAATCCTTTGACCGGACTACGCATGACACGAGTTGGCGCAGATTAAAAACCGTTTCAAACCATCAACTGCTCCGCGATGTTTTGTTAGATTTGGTGGAGAAACCAAGTCTGACCACCAGATGTCGCTAATGTGCACTGTGTTCAAATCTTCGAGTAATGAACCGTTTTTCGGTACAATTTAATGAAAGCCTCAAACGGTTCAGAAGGCCTCGATTTCCCATCACTAGTTATAATGTTTAAATGTGATTAAAACAACGATTATTTGAGAAAAAAACGAACAAACAAAACAAAACTCAATTTCCCATGTACCTCAGGTTCACGCTCAACCCCGGAAGTATAGCAGTACAACTAATAAGGAAAGAGAAATACAAAATGCGGTCATTTGTTCAGATTCATATTCAGCAATAGTCAGTATTGATAACCAAAAATCAGAATCAAGGCCAGATTTAATAATGGAAATCCTTCAAAATCTCTTTGAGTTAAAACAAAGAATAGAAGTACAGTTTATGTGGGTTTCTAGGAAATTAAAGGAAATGAAGAAGCAGATAAATTAGCTAAGCAAGCAGTAGATGATGAAATAGTAGAAATTGAGCTATCACATAGTATAAGAGAAATAAAATCAGTAATAAAGGAGAAAGTGATTAAAAAGTGGCAACAGTATTGGGATAATGAGACTAAAGGGAGACATTTATATGCAATACAGAAGAAAGTGGGAACAGGTAGAAACCGTGAGAGAAATAGAAGGGAGGAAAGTATAATTACAAAACTAAGAATGGGACATACAGGTTTGAATAAAACATTGCATTTAATATCTAAACATCCAACGGGATTGTGTGAGAAATGTGGACAGAGTGAGACTGTAGAACATGTGATTATTAATTGTAAGGGTTATGATGAAGAAAGAGAAGTGCTAAGAGAAGAAGTATGGAAGAATTAAGGAAAAGAGTTAACATTAAAGAATATATTAGACTCAGATATAGGAAGTAGTACGGTAAATGTGTTGTTTCAGTTTCTGAATAATACAGGTTTAATGAAGAGAATGTAGGAGAAGTATAGAGAGGTAGAAGATGCTGATATAGTGTGGGTAGACGGGAAAGAATATCTGAAGGTTAAATAAGGATACAGTGGGATGGGATTTAAAGGGAATTGGGGTGGAAACTGGAGGAGCTGAACACGCAGCGCCAATGTTTGTAGAAAATGTTTCTGATCCAAGCTACCTGATGATGGCAGTAATGCACTGTTAAGTGCGGTTGGAAGGAAGAAGGAAGAAGAAGAAGAACCCCGGAAGTAGATTCTTCTCCTCTTAGCATGGCGCAAATGAATACTTTGCAGTAGTAATTGCTAATACTGGTGAATTTGTAACAAAACGAATTATATGAATATGTAATTCCCACGTGAGAAGTTATCACAAGAAAGGTTGAGTAAGGTAAAATACGTTTTGTGCTTTCTAACTCTTTTCATGCCTAAAAGATCGCTTTTTAACGGCAGTGCTAACCGACCGGTTTTATTAATGTTAATTTTATTTCCCCACATTTTATAGAATTTAAAATAATTGACTTTAAGTGAGTTAAGTGTGATACTCATCATTTACTAAAGTTGCTATTTTAGGACAGCCAGAAAACCCGTTTTATAAGATTAAGTAATCTAGCTACTATTAGCCCAATTATGTAAGAGCAATTAACGAGCTACTATTTAAGTATGTAGTGCTAAAACTCAATTCAGCACTTTTATCTACATCGTGGACAGTGTTTCTCGCTTTTGGAGTATTTACTGGAGTAAGTTTATGTTTCTGAAACTCCAAACTAGTCCCACTTATAATACAGGTCATTCATTTGTTCAAATCCTGATATTGTGTTTTCATTCAGTTTTAAAATGTTTTCTTTTCACGCAAGCACAAGTTTACAAAAAATTCGTTCACTGTGACATCTAATGTCAAAATTTAAATTCACTTTTAATTTAGTCATTTTAACCAGCAAGTTATGCATGAGAAACGTCTCAAATTGCCTTTGGAGATACTGAATAAAGTAGTGTAAGTGTACTGTCTAATGTTAAAATACCTTACCTCATTAAATCTGCTTAAAATCCGTAATTCTCTAACATCTAGTCTGTAATCAGAAGGTGTGATCAAAAAGACACTGCAATGATACTCCTGTCATGTCAGTGTGTAACAGAACAGAGTGGTCCTGGTATTGAAGTCAATGATACAAGAACTGTGTAACAATTAAATGCACTATGATATACTGTAATAATCCTGGTCGGCATGCATTTCTGCAATGTGAGCATCTTGCAGAATTACTATTTTTGCCTAAATAACCTTATGGCTGAACTGACAGTTGACCTTTGTAGATTAGAGTAAATTAATTGGCAATCTCTGCCATGACAGTCTCTTGTATTTCTTAGTTTGCTTCTTGTATTAAGGCAAGACCCCACATGTTAAAGTTTTAACTAATAGATGTCACTATATTTCCTGTTTATAAATGTACATTAGTACTGTAGTACATTAAGACAATTGTTTTGTATTACAAGTTTTCTGAAATGTTTAAATATGCAAGTTGGGCATTATTTAATTAAATGTACACAAATTTGCATACATTTCCAGTACATGAATCCAAACTTTGGATAAAGCCAGGTTTCTGGATAGGTTTCTATTTGGATATCTCTTTTCATCACTCTGAAAATACTGTAATAAAATGTTTTATGAATCAGGCAAATTATACTGTATATAAACAGACCCCTCTGTTAAAACAGCCAGAATAAAACTGGAAAGTTTGACGTATGTAAGAGCTACTGAAATGGAGACGCCATTTTGAGAAAACGGGCTTTAAAATTATGTATTGTAATTGAAATCTACAGACACAAATAGATAAGGTGTAGCCTAATGAAATTAACACTTAAAATGTATTTTGGATGTTTTACTTCCACTAGTTTGAAATAAGACATGTTATGGAAGCAAAATCTCAGAAATGATCAGTGCTGGAAAAAAAAAGAAAAGTTGCCTGTAATGTATTGCCTTAGGAGAGGTTTAATAAAAAGTAATACAACTATTGAGAAGGTAAGTACATGAAAAGTGCATTGAATGAAAATATTACTTTAAATGACAGGTATATTTGACAGTGAATTCTGTAAGGTGATCAGTATTGAGAATATTCCTCAATGTTGAGTATGTAGTATGGAAAAACCCACATTTCACATATTTATATGGAAATAGGCTGACCTTGAAATTGTGCTTACCTTTTTTCATCTTTGTGGCCTGTGATGCTCTTTTCTTTAGATTTTTTTCACAATGGCGTCAGGCGTGGGAGAACAAGCACATGGTAGCGTGGCCTCCCAGTTCTACAGCAATGAGGAAGAAACAGCCGTTGACATGACCACTAGCGAGAAGGTAACACACTGGGCCATCATTTCTAATAAGTCACTGCACTAGTTATTGCTGTTTTGTTTTTTGCAAATGTGACATTTGTCAATTTAGCATGGATTGCATTGCTCCATCAGGTGGTGGACTTGCTAAACCAGGCGGCCCTCATCTCTACAGAGGAAAAGCTTATTGTTCTCAAACAGGTTTGGAAATCCTTTTCATATTGTTGTAAACAAAAATCAGATGCTTAGTGTTCATGATTATGTAGTTCTGTTCTCTGTCTTTTTATTATCAGGTGCAGGAGTTGATTATCAACAAGGACCCTTCATTGCTTGATAATTTTCTGGATGTAAGTGCAGTCTGTACAGTCTTCACCAGCTTGTGTAAGTAGGTAGATGAGCCGACACAGAAATGAAATTCACACTTTCTGCTTTCATCCATTCTCAACAGGAAATCATCGCATTTCAGACTGATAAATCAATTGAGGTGCGAAAGTTTGTCATCGGATTCATTGAGGAGGCATGGTGAGTACTGGCTGATCTTAGATATGAATCAGTCCACATCAAGTTAGTTGGAATCTCAAACTCAAAATTGTTACAGCAGAATGCTATCATAGTGGACTTATATCTGTGAAAATTTCAGTTTGCTGTCTGGTACTCCATCAGAGATAATCAATCCGAAATTTAAAAATGCACTTTCTTACTCTCATTAAAAAAAAATAATACCTTATTTTTTGAATGAGTGCAAAAAAGTGCATTTTCTCACTCTAGAAATGTTCTGCATGTGCACTCAAACCCTTCCCATTATAAAAGTGGAAACAAGTTTGCTTTAGGCCAAGACACAAAGACTGCTGCTGTGTTTGAACCAAGTAAAACAAAAATAAAAAAGGTGGTTTTGCAATACAAAACAGAGATAATCACTCAAAACTAAACTAGCAAAATTAAATATGGCCAAGTAACCTCCATCGGACCATCTGAGAGAGATTGAATCGTACTGCACAATACAAAATTCACTGAGTTCAATACTTCATATACATATCATGACCTGTCCCTAAAGAGTCGCTTCTTGTTCATTCAGTAAAAGAGACAGTGAGCTGCTTCTGAGGCTGATTGCCAACCTGAACATGCTGATGAGAGATGAGAGTGTGAATGTGGTGAAAAAGGCCATTCTGACGCTCACTCAGCTATACAAAGTGGCTTTACAGGTATCATTAGTTTTCACTTACATACACCGTATTCATTGTTTGCCTGGGCTGATGCTTTTAAGTGTCTGACGTGTTCTGTATTTGTTCTGTTAGTGGCTGGTGCGCACTAAGAGTGTCTCGGACATGCAGGAGGCATGCTGGGATATGATGACCCAGATAAAAGAGGATGTTCTGGCCTTGCTGGATTCCGATAACGATGGAGTTCGCACTCATGCCATCAAATTCACAGAGTCCCTCATCATCACGCTGTCACCACGTACACCTGACTCTGACACGCCCAAGAAACAGGAGGGAGACATCAGCCTGGACAAAATCCCCAAAGACCACACATATATTCGATATGGTAAGAGCAGATTCACATTTTCAAACTAAATTTTTGGCTTTCAATATGATTATCGATTTTTTTTTTTTTAATAAATATATGCACTGCATGTTTGAGTGAAGGGCGGCATGCATGCAGCTCATGAATTAGTGTTTTCAGTGTCTTAGATTGGAGCTGATTTGTACATGCTCATCTCTGCATTTGAGTTTGGGTCGCTTGTAATGTGCATGTGGGAACGTAACATGCGCCAGCCATCTTCACAAACTTCTGATGAGATGTGCTTATAAACTGGCTGTTGCCAACAAAGGTGAAGCTTTAAGGGCTCCCTGTGGTTTTAAAAGCTTGATGGTTTAACATTTGAAAATGAAGAAATGAAGACAACCATAAATATTAGCACTGTAATTTTACAGTTGCACTGTAAAAAAAGTTATTATATTAAGTACTTGATTTTTAAAAATATTTTACAGTAAAATTGCAATAGTAATATTTCCTATTTGTATTTTTTATTCGAATAATTTGTATGAATAATTATAATTAAATAAAAATAATAATAATTATTATAATTTAATTTAATTGTCACATTGATATAAAATCACACATTTGTCAAAATTTTGCAGTCTGTATGAAATCCACAAAGACCACACATAAATCTTAAGTACTTGATTAGATTTTTTTTTTTTTACTCTGATATATTTCAGTAATAATTTTTCATATTTTGTTTATTATTTATTTAGTAATAATAATAATTACTACTATACTACTACTAATTATTTTTATTTAATAGTCATATTGATTTATAATAAAAAAAAATATTGGCCAAATTGTGCAGCCAAGCACAGCAAACCTGGAACTTTTTTTCTTGCAATTATAATTTTCATCAGAAAAATCTAAGATTTTTTTCCCCAAATTGTACTGCCCTAATGTCAAAACTTGTTAAAGTTTCATAGAAACATTTTCATTCTTTATGTTTGCTTCCCTTTCTTCTCCCCTTGTCTTCCTCCTGTCTTCTCTAAGACACCTTATGTGAGGAGGGTAAGTTGGCTCTGGAGCAGTTGTTAAAGTTTATGGTGCACCCTGCCATCTCCAGCATTAATCTCACCACTGCACTGGGATCACTGGCCACGCTGGCCAGACAGCGGCCCATGTTCATGTCTGAGGTAGTGCAGGCCTATGAGACGCTACATGGTGAGTTCCGTCCACTGACATTATTCAAAATACAAATCTACTAATTTCTTTTGTTCTTAATCTGTTTTGTTGTGCTCCCCAGCTAACCTGCCCCCAACTCTGGCTAAGTCTCAAGTGAGCAGTGTGCGCAAGAACCTGAAGCTGCACTTGGTCTCGGTGCTGAAGCACCCCAGCAGCGTGGACTTCCAGGGCCAGATTTCCACTCTGCTGCTGGACCTCGGCATGTCTCAGAGTGAGATCACCCGCTGCACACCAGCCACTGTACAGCCCCGTAAGAGGCTCCACCATGAGCCCTACGTTGAGGGCAAGAGGATCAAGATGGGTGAGTTGCTGTTTTATTGAGCTGGGTGAGTCGTTGTTGTGGGTCAGTTGTTGGCATTGATTGATTGAAAAGAAGAGGAATAATGCCTTGTTTGTGCTTGCAGAGGCCTCTCTAGTGGAGGATGATGAGGATAAAGAAGAACCAGCTCCAGTCGTCACCACAAAACCATCCTCCTCTGTTGGCACCCAATCAGCCATCGATCTCACTGCTGAGTTCCTGTTGCCTCTGCTGACTCCAGACAATGTGGCCAACCTGGTGCGTACTATGGCACAAAGTTAAACTTTGTGTTTTTCTTCAAATGTTGTAGTAATAATAATAAAAATAATCATCATCATTTTAATACATCATATTTAAAAAAATTTTTTTAAAATTCATTATAAAATATGAAGACAAAAATATTAATACAAATTAAAAGTCAATTAAAAAATGAATATTTAATAATTATAGTATTGTATTTGACACTACAACTCACTGTGCTAATATGTCTCAAATTCTTCACTTACAGTCATTAAAAAGCCTCAAGCTTTATTTTGGTGGAAAACTGCAGGGAGATCTTTAAGTCTGTTTATTTGATGCTTCTTGTTATAAATATTGTAAAATGCTGAAAACTTCTGCACAAAAATGATGGAAATTTTACAAAAGTGAAAATACAGTGATCCTGGTGCATGTTTTTTAAATGCACATAATAAATAACATGCAGAGATGGCGTTTGTGTGGAGCAGTATTTTCTGCAAACCGAGTCACTGAGAATCTGAAAACACAGGAAGAGTGTAAATGAACACAGTGCTGCGCTATAATCTTAAACACACATTGAGTAAAAGACTAAATCATTTTTTTAAATTTTATAACCGCAATTTAAATTGTTTTAGTTTCACTTTTTTTTTTTCATTTGTTATATTTTCATCAACTCATGAACCCAGTTCAGGGCTCGCAAAATTTCAAAATCCCTGGTAGCCCTTTGGGCAGGTACTCTTCAGGTTTTTGGTAGCCCGAAAATTTATTTTACAAAAAAAAAATTTGAAAAAATAAAAAAATCAGATAGGAGTTTAAATGTCAATCAAAAATATTTTCAATACACAAATATCAACAAATATGAAGGAAGGAATTTTATTTCACTATTTACAGTATCTGCAGAATAAAAAAAAAAAAAAACATTTAAGGCGATTTATGACCCATTTTAAGAGCTGCACAAGTAAAATGAACACAGTATGAGTGGGGTTGGACAATGTCTATGGTAACACAGTATTGAGCCATAAAATTACATGATTTACAGTTCAGATACAGGTTTTCACAAAAACAAAAATCTTATACAACAGCATTTCAGCCTTTAGACCATTTTTATGAAAAGGGATAAATCAAGCATATAAATTGTCAATTTAAAACGTATAAATATTACTGTCTTAATTGTTTCGATTTTTCGAAGGCACATTAAGTTGTTATTTACAACTTGATGTGTTTGCTGCGTAAAAACATGAGTTGATATTTGCATTGATCTGACCATAAACAGCAAGAAAGGCTTATTGGAAATGCAAATTCATTCTCTTTAGGAGCGCTGAAATATTGCGGTTTCCCCGGTAACGGCTGTGTACACAAAGCAGCTCCGCGCTCATAAATGCTGCTTTATCAGGAATTATAGGTCAAATTAAATTAAAATGCCAACGACACGTCGGTTCCCTTCAGATACATTCAAATAAAGACATCCGCGAGTTTTGACTTGAAACGTGCAGCGCTCATATTTATTCAATGACATCATTGCCTTTTGAGGTTTAATCCAGCCGTATCGCGACTCGTCTTTCCGTCCCCAACTGTAAAACCTCTTGAAATTATAATTAAGACATTTCTTATACCATTTAACATATTTAAAACTTTTTATGGCCTTAAGTATGATACAACTCACTTTAGGAGTTTTTAAGGACCCGCGGGAGATCTGCATTTAAGATAGCCCGTCGGGCAGAGTGGTGATACATTTTGGTAGCCCGACTGGAAAACACCATAGCCCCGGGACGTCGGGCTAGCGATTCTGCGAGCCCTGCAGTTCCCTTGTGAATGTTTGGTAAAATGCTGGTGTAGAGTAAAACCTGTTCGCAAGCATGCATAATAACATCAGTTTGTCCTATGTGGGTCTTTTTGAAAACATATAAAAAGAACAATCATTTAAATCTAAATCAAAAGACTAAATATATAAAAAAAAAAAATTGGTCAAAAAATCTGGGAACCCTGTGTTGAGTAGCACACAGTGTTGTGCTTGTCACTATAACTTAAATGTGATAACTTGCACTTTTTTTATGATTTGTGTCAATGCAGGTGCTCATCAGTATGGTTTACCTGCCTGAAGTGATGCCGGCCTCTTTCCAAGCCACCTACACACCTGTAGAATCAGCCGGCACTGATGCCCAGATAAAACACTTAGCCAGGCTGATGGCCACACAGATGACTGGGGCTGGCCTGGGACCAGGTGAAGTGATTGTTATTTAAAAGCAAGGAGAGATAAACTCCTTTAGTTCCTGTCAGCACAACTGGAAAGCCGGCGAGGGGGGTTGTGTGTTGGACATCATCTCCTCTCTCTCCTGCTGCACAGGGCTGGAGCTGTGTAAGGCTCGAGATGAAGAGGTGAAGGAGGAATATGGTGGAGCGGGTGAGTCCAGCTCCAAAGACCCTCTCATCATCCGCAAGCTGTCTGCTGTGTCCCTGGGTCAAGCCATCTCAGTGGTGGGGGCGCCAGCAGCCTACAAGAGCCCTATCACTGAAGAGGCACCTCAGATCAAGAAGTTCCCAGAGCCCATACTGCCCACCACACAGCCCAAGTAAGAGTGTCCCTATAGCTCATCAATTATGAGCTGCCTTGCTGGGCAGCTGCCTTCTAAGGTGGCATCCTAACTAATACACAGTCTCATAAGAAACTGATTTGGAGCTATTTACAATGGCAGAAACCAAATAGTGCTAGTCAAGTGAAGTGTGCCAAAGATGTGACTCGCAGCGTTTGCAGTTTGATATTGCATGGCACTAAGCTAATAACAAACATAAATCTTAGCACACCCAAATATTAGGTAAATAATTTTGTTTTTAAATAGTGACTTAAATAAGATTTTCCACTCAATTGAGTTTTCTTAGTTCACTTTCCCACTGTTTTTGACCCTTTCTGCATGACTATAAAATAATAATGATTTCTTAATCAAAGAAATTAAACAAAATAAGAAATATATTGTAATAATAATAAATAATTATTTGTTCATTTACATTACAATACTAAATTTAAATCACAATACTAATTTTTACAGCATAATTTCTTCATTTTCAAACGTTAAACCCCCAAACTTTTATTTTGGTTCACTGGCCAAATATATGTACACCATTTCAGAGCAAAGCACAGCACTGTGTTCATTTACACACATGCAGCTCGTGAAATTGTGTTTCTCAGCATTTCATAGCAGCCTGATTCACAGTAAATGAACCAAGCTGCTCTGAAACACTGACAAATTTTTTGCTATAAGTTTGATTGCATCATATAATAATTGCTGTTAATAGTGTTCATCGTCTGTTTTATTACGTCTTAAATTGATTTTTCCGTACATTTCTGCCATATGTACATTAACTGACAGTCACCACTGATAAGCTACCACTAAATATTGTAGAAACTTAATTTGCTGTAAAGTTGCTTTGCAATGATTTGTATCATGAAAAGCGCTGTACAAATAAACTTGACTTGACAAATATAAGATATGACTGATATGACTATCACACTAAGGGTGGGTTGCACCAACAAGGATTCATTTAAGTAAAGTTTAGAGCTAATCAAGGATTTGTTGATCTGGGTTTTATTTTAAATCGAGTTGCGTTGCACCACTTAATTTTAAACACAGATTAACAAATCAGGGATTAGAACTCTAACCTGCGATTAAAACCTCCATCTACGAGTAATTTTCTCCGACATGATGGATTTTCGCCATTGCAATTAAACAGGAACAATGCTAATATTCCTAATTTTTCTTTGCTTACTACCAAACTCTCTTTCTGACATAAAAAGTTGCTCGTGTCAAAAAAGGAAATAAACTTGTAAAATATCTGCCGTCTTAATAAACTGCTATCGTTATTCAAACGGCTGATCAAGCAAGCAATGAATACATTTCTGGCAGTGCATACGGATTTCATAATCCTGGAAATATATTTATAGTATCAATTAATGGAGTATGTTTTATGACAGCGCCGCCCCGTCCGTTTGATCGCCGCCCAGCATCCACGCGTGGAGCGAGCGTGAGAAACGAGAGGCGTGGCCGCGATCATTGGCGCTCACTTCATCATCACCACTGCCGTTAAATGCTATACAGTATATTTCTGTTTTCTTTGTCGTACACCGAGATGCACCGAGATGAGTGACGGATTCACATCCCGGACTCGATAGCAGACACGAGTTTACTACGGGCTGCCAAGACCCTCACAATCTGCTGATAAGCTACCACTAAATATTGTAGAAACTTAATTTGCTGTAAAGTTGCTTTGCAATGATTTGTATCATGAAAAGCGCTGTACAAATAAACTTGACTTGACAAATATAAGATATGACTGATATGACTATCACACTAAGGGTGGGTTGCACCAACAAGGATTCATTTAAGTAAAGTTTAGAGCTAATCAAGGATTTGTTGATCTGGAATTGAGATTTAAATCTGAGTTTAAAGTTATGGAGCAACATGATTAAAGTTAATCTATCTTAAATATAAATTAAATCCAGGATCAAGATGATGGTTTAAATGTAATCCTGCTTATTTTTAAACAAGGTTTAAAGTTTGGTGCAACGGAATTATTAGATAAACCTTGATTTAATCTAGATTAAAGCTTAATCATTGTTGGTGCAACCCACCCTAAGTGATATTGCGATTTATCAGTTTTAAAATGCCAAATCCAGTGTGTGGATAATTCTGCTGTGGCGACCTCTAAAGCACTAGAGCAGCCGAAAGGAGATGAGATTAAGATATTGCTTTGTATTTGTGTGTTGTCTCTAGTTTTAATCATCTGTTTTGATTGATTGTTTCTTTTTGTTTTCCTCCCCATCACCCCTCATTCAGAGCTCCTGGGGCCAGTGGCAGAAAAAAAGTGTTCAAATTGGCCGACGTGGTGCAGCCATTTTCAGAGGCTCAGATTGAGAAACTCACCAACATGGCCATCAAGCGGATCCTCCAATCAGAAAAGGTCATTGCACAGAGTGGGATGTCCCATGTGAGTTTGCTTTTGAAGGCTTCTGTGCATACCACCTCAGCCACTATATCCATTCTACTAAGTCCACATTCCTGTTTTATCTTCTCCCAGGTCCGTGTGAAGCTGCTTGCACGGTTGGTGACCCAGTTTGAGGGTGGGAAGAAAAATGACTTGTTGCAGTTTATCTTGGAGGATATGCGGGGCAGAAGTGAGCTGGCCTTTTCTCTGCTGTACCACGAGTACAATGAATACCTGAGTCAGCAGCCCCCCAGCTCTCTGGACAGCTATGAGCACTGTCTGTACACACTGCTGTCTGGCCTGCAGGAGAAACCTGAGCAGAGGGATGGGTGAGGATCACCTCATAACATCACAAATTAATTATCAACATGATACAATCAGTGAATGAACATAATTCATCAGAAAGTTAAAGGTGCAATGTTTTGTTTATTTTCGCTTGCCGATACGACGGAGTTCTTATACATTAGGGATTCTCAGTCTTTTTGTCAGCTGAATCTCTTTGACCTGAAATATTTCCTTGAAGTCCCCCCTCAGATTTTAAGTTAATATTTCAATAATTTAACACATTTGCATGTTCATGGTTCTCTGATGTTGGTTAATGGTAGGGCTGCATGATTAATCGCATGCGATATTTAACGCGCATCTTATCAGTAAAGCCGGTTCTGTAATCAGCGGTAAATCTCCATCACCTGCGTGCTTTCACATTGAGCAGCAATTTGGCTTTACTGACAAGATGCGCGTTAAATATCGCATGCGATTAATCGTGCAGCCCTAGTTAATGGTCACATGACATGCAAGTAAACATGTCAAATATTTAGTCTTTTTTAGTTGGTGTTTTGATTATTTGTATTTTTAAATTATTTATTTTAATTTTACATTTTAATTATTTAAATAACTTAAAATTAACTCTCAAACTCCAGTTTTGCAAACCCTGTCATGAATTATTCTGCATTTATCTTTAAATGCGTAACATTTGATGCATAATATGTAATTATTTGTTTTAATCTTTGGTTAAATTTGTAGTAATATACTATGGAAAGTGCACTTTTTTTTATTTATTTTAACTTTTTCACCATTTTAAAATGCCTTTATTAGTTTATTTTAATTGTCCTACAGTGAGACAAATGAATATTTAAAAGTACAAATATTCCAGTAGTCGTTTTTCAATTAATGAGATCCTAAAATCTGCATACATAAGAAATAATTGCCAAAAGGGTTTTGGATGGAGTTCAACATGTCACCCCACAGGATATTTGAATTTCCCGAATATATTTCATATGAATTTGTCAGCAACACAAATTCAGTGCTTGTTTTATATGAACTAATAAAACAGTTTATTTTGATATTTTGTCACTATTCCTGAATTTAATTTATGACAGGCTTTTCACCAAGCTTGTGTTGGAGGCTCCAGTCATTACAGACTCAGCACTGGAGGTGATTCAACGCTACTGTGAGGACGAGGTCAGCCACACTACTACACTTAACCCCATTAAAAGTTTCTGATGCCATCACTTATACAGATTTTTTCTTTTCTGTCATTATCTGCATATGCATTTACATGTTAAATCTTCTTGTAAGAAACTCGAATGTTCCTTATTTGTCTTTCAGTCACGTGTTTACCTAGGCATGTCCACATTAAAGGAGCTCATCCTCAAACGCCCATCCAGACAGTACCAGTACCTCAATGTCCTTCTGAACCTCAGCTCTCACGAAAAAGAAAAGGTTAACCTCTAATCATCTGTCAGTCTTTGTTTCATTAAATAATTTCATAGTAGTATAATAACAATCCCCACTGATGTTCAGGTGCGCTCCACTGCTCTCAGCTTCATCAAGCGCATGTATGAGAAGGAACATCTGAAGGACTGTATTGAGAAGTTTGCTCTCACCTACATGCAGTTTCTGGTCCACCCAAACCCACCTTCTCTTCTGTTTGGAGCAGGAGAGGATACAGGTTCAGAGACTTTTCCTAGACTTCAGATCTATCCCAATTTTTGATATAATTGATTAGGTTCATGGTCTATGTGCTCATACTTGTGTATTAAATTACCTTCTTATAGAAAGAAACTTTATTGTTACTATGATAGTGTAAAATGAACTCACTGCTGTACTGTGCCTTAACATATTGTTGACTTTGTTCAATCCTGCTGTGTCCTCAGAGGTGGCAGCTCCCTGGACAGAGGAAACGGTGCGGCAGTGCCTTTACCTCTATCTCTCCCTCCTTCCCCTCAACCATCGTCTGGTGCATGAGCTGGCTGCTGTCTACACCGAGGCCATCGCTGACATCAAACGCAGTGTGCTCAGGGTCATCGAACAGCCTGTAAGACCCTCTCATCCAAAACTGGATTTCTCAAATGTTTATTCACTTTTCATGTCTTTTGTATTCAATCTCATTATCCTGCTCAGTTAGGGTTTGTCTGATTTATTTGTTCACGTACACTTCCTGTGTACTGAAATAGTGGGGAACTGAACTAAACAACAGATTTATTCAGATTCATTCAAAGAGGACATGCTCATTCTTGAGAGGATTTTGTTAGCTATAACTTTGTTCGTATATTTATTTTGAATACATATATGTTAAAAGTTTTTGTCAACATTTAGGAGTAATTTTAGAAATATTTATGTACTATTATAGTAGTTATTAATATTTTTAGTTTGCTTTTTTAATGAAAGCTATATTTAGAATTTTCATTTTAGTAAATTTATGCGATTTTGTCCTTTTTAATATTTCTATTTAGCTTTCATTAATTTTTTTTATTTCAGTTTTAGTTTTACTTATTTCAGTTCGTTTTTACCTATTCTTCACAGCTAACAAAGATGGGCCAAAAGAAAAAATAATTTTGATTGCGTGGTTGATTAAAACGGTTAATTTATGATAACTATAATAGTTTCATCTATGTTTTTTCATAGATAAGAGGAATGGGAATGAGCTCTCCTGACCTGCTGCTCCTGGTGGAGAACTGTCCTAAAGGAGCAGAGACGCTGGTCACTCGCTGTCTGCATATACTCACTGATAAAGGTGTGTGTGAAAGAGCAAGAGTGATTGTGTCTGTATATGCATCTCTGTATAGTAAATGTTGACCTTGCATGGATTGTTTCATGTTCACAGTGCCGCCATCTCCTGAGCTGGTGGAGAGGGTGAGGGATCTTTATCATAAGCGAGTGCCAGATGTTCGCTTCCTCATTCCAGTAATCAATGGCCTGGAGAAGGTTTGTTTTATCTTGTGTGTCCTCCTTAGGTGTCTGGTATTGTTTCATCCGCATCAGAGCTAATCACAAATGCACAGCAGTGGTTAAATAAGAAAATTTCAATTTCCCATATTTAGGTGTTGTTAGACAAGTGAAGTGCCTAAAAACATATTTTTTACATGATAAAAGGAATCACACACGATCTTGAGTGGAGTTGAAAGCAGCTCTAAACAAGGCACATCTAGTTAGATTTCAGAGCCAGAATAATCTGTTTTATGTAGGGCTATCGGTTGTTTCAAAACAAAACAATGAATTAATAGCTCCTAACATAAACATTTCTAATCTAAAATATATTTTCATATCTTCAAATTAATGTGGAGACGGTATTTTATTGTGTACATACAGTATTTTAAATATTTGTTTAAAGGGGTCATATGATGCGATTTTTAAGTTTTCCTTTCTCTTTGGAGTGTTACAAGCTGTTCGTGAATAGATAAGATCCCTAAAGTTGCAAAGACTAAAGTCTCAAACCCAAAGAGATATTCTTTATAAAAGTTAAGACTCGTCCACGCCCTCCTAAACTGCCTCGTTCTAACACACCCCCACATGTCTACGTCACGATGTGGGAAGATTTGCATAACACCGCCCAAATGTTCACGCAAAGAAAGAAGGCGTAACTTAGATTCTCGCTGTAGTATTGTTGTTGCCGCCGCTGCCATGTCGTGGAGACGCTGTGTGTTTCGTTGTGAAAGCG